CATGTTGTACGCTCACTGCGCCTGCAGTGCAAATGAGTGGGATCTATGCCCTGCCATATGTAGTTTGTCCGATGCTCTGCTTGTAATGAAAGAACAGAGTGGTCATGTGGACCAAGATGTACTAAATGTCTACCATCAGTGTCCATAGCCAGAACAAAAAATCTGTAAAAACCAAATACAATTATGAATTATAATGAAAACATCTGCAATCATATAGTAATAAAGGTAATATTTCCAACATCCAAGATAACATAATGATTTCATTTCAACAAACATGTACTTATAAGCTTGTGTACCTACCAAATATTACCACATAACCACATTGTAAGGTCCAATACACACTTTAGTACAACATATGACAACTTAACAAGCTCACAAAATAACTTGGGACTACCTAGTGAAGGAATGATGGAGCTCACGTGTTTATGGATGAACACTTCCGACGATTGTGACCCACTTCGTCTCACATCCCATAATGAATCTGATTACAAGCCTTTGGCAGGAAGTCCATCTCATTTCATATGTGCATCATTCGTGGCCAACCAACCTAGTCTCGACGTTGGTTGAGATTAGGGACTAATTTAGGACGTGAAGGATCATTCCAATAATGTTCATGCTCCCAAATTTTCTCTAAATTGTCGATGTTGTATATGGGATCTATGTAAGACTAAGAATGCAATCGAAAATGAGAGCATACAACAAATACATGAGAGCAAGAAATTTTATAAATGGTCCATTTTTCGCATGTTCAAGAACGATTTTCAAGACATATAACTTGCTTCTAACCACAGCCAATCACCACTTTAGTAAGACCACACTCCTTATGAAATGACATCACTTCGTTGACACGACTCATTTGCCGTCCATGTTTTACTTGTTCCACAACATTCTTAGGGAACTCTAACTCATTTTCTTTCCATTTTGCGACATTATCTGGATGTTCAAAATGATACTTAGTGACTCGATAAAATATTGATTGCACACAAGCAGTTATAGACAAATACCTAGCACCTTGAAGAACACTATTAAAAACCTTAAAAATATTGATTGTCATTTTGTCATATCGTCGTCCACCATCATGGGCTAATAACCACTTCTCCATTGGTATATGATTCAAGTAATTAGCCACTTCCTTTTTGATGTTGCGTATCTGGGTCATTAACTCATTGAACTTGCAAACTTGTCTTGTCCTGCCAGCCCTCCATATAAGATCGTACAAATGACCATTCTTAAACTGTGTATTAAATTTACTAAAACATGCTGAAGACAAAAGCAATGATAAGACTGTGGTGGACGTCACCCATAATTTTTCATGTTCACAGTAGAAAGGATCTCCGCGTGCCTATAAGAAATTAAACATATTCCTCGCCGATGTGTAAAAACTATCTGCCGAAGGTAATATAGGAAAAAAACTCAGCTTGATTGATTCTCCTCTTCCACTATAGCGAATGCAATGAAAAATAGCTACTTATTAGAATCAAAATCAGTCGCCACTAATAGCTTTCCCTTGTACTTCCCACGCAGAAATGTCTCATCAATACTAACAACAGGTCGACAATATTTAAACCCTTTAATGTTGGCCTTGAATGCCCAAAATACTCGTAAAAAATATTATATTGAGGAGATTTATAATTGTACTGCCACTTCATAATCGAGCTAGGGTTATACTTCTTGATGACACCCAAAAACTTAGGCAACATGTCATATAAAGAGTTCCAATCACCGAAAAATCTTAGCAATGGTCTTGTTCCTCTCAATCCATGCTTTCTTTAGGAAAAATCTTACTTAATTCGTTTGTGGTGTATCACCAACAAGTTCTTGTATATTATGACATATAAAGTTAGAGTCTAACTGCTAGTGGTTACAATTCGAGGGTAGAAGTAGGTATGAGGTCCATCATATTTCGTAATTTGAAATATTTTGATTTTTTTTCCTAAAACAAGCACGTAGTCTCCACATGCAATTAGGCTGCATGTACATGTTACACTATACAACCCACACCGTTGTGTTCGTCTTGATCACGACATAATTCTGATTCAATTTGATGGAATACCATTTAACTGCCCTAGTCAATGAAGCTTTATCCTTAAAAATCATGCCCTTCGCCAACTCCATCTTCATCGAATCCCACAAATTCAATTCAGAAGATAGTACTAAGTTATCTACTTCAGAATGCTAACAGAATGCTGACCAAATTTAGTGCTTGCAAAGGAGGTGGAGTAAGGCATATGCATCTAAACCTCTACACCAACCTCAATGTCTTCACCATTCCCATCTTCGTCATCCAGCTCAACAATCATTACTTCCTCAAACTCTTCCTCTTCTTCATCATCATCGAAGATATCTGTATGATCATTTGCACACATTTCTTCATATTCCTAATATTCTCGGATTGGGCTTTGTTGCATTATTAGTTGATGGACATCATCTTGTTTACCCAACTCAATTTTCATTTCACCCATTTGAAAATTCTGACTTAGTGAATTATTGGTTGAGTACTCACCATTTATTACAGAGCCAGTTCTTTGGTGGGTATACGAGTATTGCCTAGACTCATTCATTACCTGCATTCCCATGGTAATGGAACATTCACTTGTCAACTCGAAAGTTGAAAATGTCGATGTACCTATCTCTTGCCTAAACAACTCAATGTAAGACATGGTAGTGGTGGTTAGGCACCATTCGGTCTAACTACAACCTATGCCATCATTAATGTCCTCCGTCTCCACGTACAAAATAACACTAGCAATTCTGGGGTTGTTAAGTCTACATTAACCAAATAAGTCACAAGTTAATAATTCACAATTTTAAACCGATGTATATATATTCATGTTTGGTCCTGCTCCAAGTGTAAATGGATATCTACATGTCAACTTCAACTTGTTATGCGCCTTGTCCAACTCCATTACAGCATAAATTTTATTCAACAACTTCGACAGTTTTGTGCCACTATTAATAACAATTCCATCTTTGGGAGGACAATTGTATGATAAACCTTTCGATGCATATTTCATGTGTCCACCCCAATACAACAAAATGGTAACTTATTTTCCTATCATTTCAAACAGTTTTCGTCATGGAATAAATACTGAATTCACAAGAACCTGGGGATGGATATAAATGGTTAATACTTGAGGAAAAACAGATCTATACTTAATCAAAGTCCCATGTGAATTATCGCATGCGACCTAGAATAATTGATAAAATAAGAAACCTACAAGATTAAAGTGTACATGTAGGAAACTAAGAAAAAATGGAGATCCAAACATTATATGGAAGTTTTAAAAAATAATCCCCAAAAGAGGGTATCTCTTAACATATTATCAGGAATTCAATCACAAGTCCAACATGTTATCAAGAAGACAAACAATGTAACCAATTTTTTGGCTAAGAATTAGAAATTGAATTACATTTATAACTCTATCGCAATTATCAAGACTATCCAACTCAAGGATGAGAATACTTGAGTAACTCTATCGCATTAATCAACATGCTTATTTTGAGGCAAATGTGTTCCTTTATGACTAAGAGACATAACTACACTGCTTCGCTTGATATTGAGAGAGTTATGGAATATAGTTCATATGAATTATTATATTCTTTTAAATTAAAATTTCAATTTCATACATATGTTGAATTAAAAAGAACTTAATGAGGAAGGAATGAATGAATACTTAACAGAAGTAAGATTGAAACAAATAAAGTTAACACAAAACAATGCACAAGTTCTCAAACAATTTATGTAAAGTTTAGGTTACGCAATTTTTATTTAAAGGTAATCTTTATTATTATTATATTTTTTTAAATTAATAATTCAACTTCGTACAAAAGTTGAATTACAACTTGAATGAGTTATTAACAGAAGTTGAAAAACACATAAAAGGTTTTGATTAATTACCAACTAATAAATTTTTCAAGCAACAAACAAAGCATTAGAAATAGATGAGTTAAGAATAAAATTATTTTTTTGATTAATTATCTAAATATAAATTTATTATATCATTTTTTACAAAAAAAAATATAAACGCATTATTTTTTGATTCAATTATCTCAAGTAAGGGTTATCGCTAGATAATTATGCACACGTAAATACATAATATAAGTGATTATTAGATTAAATTACATTTAAATTTAGAATTACCATAGAATTAGAACTAATACAACAATTAGAATTAAATTTCAATGTAGAATATCATCAAACTTGAAATAACGTTATAGTTACAACTAACACAACAATTAATTTACAACTAAAACAACAATTAAATACACAAATCTAAGTGATTATGAGATTAAATTAAATTTAAAATTTAAATTTAGAATTAACATAGAATTAGAACTAATAAAACAATTAGAATTAAATTTAAATTTAGTCTATCATCAAACTTGAAATAATATTACAATTATACCTAATACAACAATTAATTTACAACAAAAAACAACAACTAAGCACACAAATCTAAGTGATTATTACATTAAATTAAATTTAAATTTAGAATTAACATAGAATAAGAACTAGTAAAATAATTATAATTAAATTTAATTTTAATTTATCATCACAAATTGAAATAACTTTACAATTATACCTAATACAAAAATTAATTTATAACAAAAAACAACAGCAACATACACAAATCTCAGTGATTATTACATTAAATTAAATTTAAATTTAGAATTGACATAGAATTAGAACTAATAAAATAATTAGAATTAAATTTAATTTTAATTTATCATCACAAATTGAAAAACAAAAATTAATTTACAACAAAAACAGCAACTAAATACACAAATCTAAGTGATTATTACATTAAATTAAATTTAAATTTATAATTAACATAGAATTACAACTAATAAAACAATTAGAATTAAATTTAATTTTAATTTATCATCACAAATTTAAATAACATTACAATTATACCTAATGCAACGATTAATTTAAAACAAAAATAACAACTAAATACACAAATTACTACAGTAATAGATAGAGAGAGTGAGTGACATACAGTCAGATGGTGGTGCTCAATGTTGCTGTGCCGGATGGAAGTATTGGAAGAACAGCAGCTCCGATGGTGTGGATTCCGTGGATCGGGGCTTTTAAGTTGAAGGGTGGTGGAGGTGGGTTTCAGCTGGTGGTGGAGGGGATTTCTGATGGTGCTGGTGGTGGAGATTTCACCTAGGGGTGGTGGACTTGGATGCAGATTTTGGTGGAGGTGGGTTACAAATTCAAGGTTGGTGGAGAAAGGCTTTAGATGCTGGTGGAGATTTCGCCGGGGGTGGTCTGATTTCTGAAGGTGGTGGTGCTGGTGGTGGAGATTTGTCGCCAGAAGGAAGGTGTTGGGAATTTGATTTTAAGGCTCATACATAATTGAGGGGGAAGAAGGAAAATAAGAGAAAAGGACAAAAGAGAAAAAGAATTCGCATATAATGTAAAAAATGTCGGTACAAGTGATGTTTTCAGCGAAAACGCCGCTCCAACTAACGATTTAAGGTGTTTTATATGTCCACCATTACAAGCAAAAACATTATTTCGTATGAAGTTTTTACGTTAAAATTATTATTCTCCGACTAATGTTTTAAGGTGATTTATATGTCCAATATTACAAGTAAAAAAATTATTTCGTCTGACGTTTTTATGCTAAAAATATTATTCTAGACCATGTTTTAAGCTTAAAAACGTCCTAATGTTGTTTTTAAAAGGGCCGGAGATTGAAAAATATTTTGAAATTAACTCTCTCTTGGATACAATTTTGTAAAACCTCCCTGGCATTCCGGTATCATCTTTCTTGGCTTTGCTCTATTTATTTTGCAACGAGGGTTTAGCTTTCAGGTTAACTCAAATAGTTCTTTCCACTGTTCTGTAATCCAACCGTTTACTTCTAGCCAACGGTCGATATCTTGATATCCTGTCCTTAGTTCCTTTTATTTTAGCATTACATACACCCAGGCCCCAGCCCATGTTTGCTGACTATCTAAGGCGGCCAGCAAATGCTGCTCTTCAGCCTCGTTTCACAAAAACAACATATTTTAGCGAACGCGTATGTTCTAATTGAAAAGGTTGGATGCTGTTGAAAGACAAGTTTTACCGCTGGCGTAGTAAAATAGTAGTTTACAGTTCTTACCCATGAATGAAGGGATTGTACTCGCTCATTGAAAACTCAGTTGTTTCTTTATCCAAGATTGTGATAATCCATTGTCAGGCAATAAAGTTAGGGACGATTGGTGATATTTACACTGCCAATAATATTATAAGTGGGTACACAAAATGCAGAGACTTAGGTATTGCTGTCAAGTTGTTCGACGAAATGCCTCACCGAGACAATGTTTCTTGGAACTCGATGATCGCTGGGTATGTAAATTGTGGGAACTTCGATTGCGCTTGGGAGTGCTTAAAATTCATGAAAAGGTGTGGGTTTCAAGTTGATGGGTACACTTTTGGGAGTATTCTTAAGGGGGTTGCTTTGAACGGTTGTCTCTTTTTTGGGCAACAAGTACACTCGGACATTGTCAAGACAGGCTTTGAGGGAAATATTTACGCAGGAAGTGCTCTCTTGGATATGTACGCGAAGTGTAATAGAGTTGAGGATGCACATATTGTGTTTCAGTTCATGCCGGGACGTAATTCTGTGTCATGGAATGCACTGATTGCAGGTTATGCAGAAATGGGCTGTCTCAAAAATTGTACTCAGTTGCTGAAATGTATGGATTGGGATGGTGTCAATCTTGATGATGGCACATTTGCACCAGTTTTGACATTGCTTGAAGACCCTGAGTTTTACGAATTTACAATGCAGCTCCACGGTAAAACTATAAAACACGGGTTGGCTTCTAATACTACTGTATGTAATGCTACCATTACTGCATACTCGGACTGTGGGTCCATTGAAGATTCAGTGAGAGTTTTTGATAGTGCCGGTGGTTCCCAAGATATAGTCACGTGGAATTCAATGCTAGCAGCTTACTTATCACATGATCAAAGAGACCTTGCATTTGGACTGTTCTTAGAGGTGGAAAGGCTTGAATTTGAACCTGACATCTATACATATACTAGCATCATAAGTGCTTGTTTTGATGAACCACTTCAAAGCCAAGGGAAATCTTTACATGCTTTGGTAATTAAAAGGGGATTGGAACAGCTAACACCAATCTCTAATTCATTGATAACCATGTATCTCAAATCAAATTGCAACAGTGTAGAAGATGTAATAAAAGTGTTTGGGTCAATGGATGTGAAGGACTCTGTTTCATGGAATTCAATCTTGACAGGATTCTCACAAAAGGGGTGGAGTGAAACTACTTTGAATCTCTTTCGACAAATGCGACGTGAGTCTGTAGACATTGATCACTATGCCTATTCTGCTGTCCTTAGGTCTTGCTCAGATTTAGCGACTCTCCAATTGGGTCAACAGGCTCATGTCTTGGCTCTAGAATCAGGCTTTGACTCAAATGACTATGTAACCAGCTCTTTGATATTTATGTATTCAAAGTGCGGTATTATCGAAGATGCTAGGAAGTCCTTTGAAGCAACTCCCAAAGACTGTTCAATCACTTGGAACTCAATCATTTTTGGGTATGCACAACATGGGGAAGGTAAAGTTGCACTTGACTTGTTCTTCCTGATGCAATCGGAAAAGGTAAATCTAGATCACATCACTTTTGTGGCAGTTCTAACTGCATGTAGCCACATTGGTTTGGTAGAAGAAGGTTGCAATTTTCTGAAATCTATGGAAGCTGAACATGGAATTTCCCCTAGAATGGAACATTATGCATGTGGGATTGATCTACTTGGGCGGGCTGGGCGTCTAGAGGAGGCAAAAGCCCTGATCAAAGAAATGCCATTTGAACCTGATGCAATGGTGTTGAAAACTCTGTTGGGGGCCTGTAGAAACTGTGGTGATCTCGAATTGGCCACCCAGGTGGCAACCCGTTTGCTGGAATTAGAACCTGGTGAGCACTGCACTTACGTGCTTCTCTCTGACATGTATGGATATCTTAAAAAGTGGGATGAGAAAGCTACTGTAAAGAGATTGATGAGGGAGAGGGGGGTCAAGAAGGTTCCTGGTTGGAGTTGGATAGAAATTCAGAATGAGGTGCACGCTTTTAATGCAGAAGATCATTCCCACTTTCATTGCCTAGAAATATACCGGATATTGGGTGAATTGATGTCAGAAATAAAAAAATTGAATAATGCTACTCATTTGGATGCTCTCGATTGTGGCGATTAATATAGTGATTTAAAATGCTGATGGTCCAACCTAAATCTCAGGAGCTATGGAGTTAGATTGATGTTTGTTAACTGTGAGAAAACTCTCTTCAAAAGCAGAGTGGATGTAAGAAAAGTTAAGCACAAATTGGAAATTTTTTTGCGCATAAGGGTGCTCCAATCAGGGTCATCTCGAGACTGGCAGATATCAGATAACACCTATCGGAAGAACTGACCGAGGTAATCATGAATTTACCAAATTAAATGTTTTGGATCATGTTTATTGAAATTGTGTAAAATGTTGAGGCCCACTTCAATCCCGGTAAAACCTGCTTCTCACAATACCCTTGACATCCTCAATATTAATTTGTATATCATACCATAGCGCTTGCCCTCGATACCAAGCCCTATGAGATTGTTTGAGCCCATAAGTTGCTTTCTTCAACCTTCATACCTGACGCGAGTCCCTTGGAGCTATATACACAGGAGGTTGCTCCATCTACCATTGATTCTAAAGATCACCATGAAGGAGAGCATTTTTAATTGTTGGCTAAAAAACACAACCCTCCTACTTTATCGGGGTTGGACCAGCTGTGCACGAGTACAGGCGAAGTTAATGGCTATCTAATAGAGGGTCAATTATTATTCTACATAGCATGAACCATGGGTGTGTCCACACGGGCATGGGAGAATTTGGATTTGGATTAGAACCACTTAAATTGAACAGAATTTCATGATGAATGGTTTTATCTCTTTTATCTATATCTATATTTATATCTATACTGTTAATAAAAGGAAGTTTAGTGAAGATCTTTTGAATTTCCAATTTACCTATAAACAATTTTTTAAAGTCGTGTGTAATATTGTATAAAGTCTATTTTACCCTCTATCCTTCATTCATTGACCATCCGGATCTACTTTAAGAGTTCAATCGGGAACCTAGATCACATAATTCGTGCATCTACCTCGGCGGATTTGCGTCCAAATGCAAATCAGCAAATTTAGAGCGAATTCGTGGTGAACCCAAGAATTCAAAAAATTGAATTTGGGATCTCATAATTATAATTCGCGGATTGAGATACTTAAAAAAGTGAAAATTGGGGCCGAGTCCTCCTAGATGGACTTATAATGACTTGAATCCGACAAAGAAACTTATTTGGGGGTAAATCCATTTTTAAACTTATTGTAAGTATTTAAGTCTAATTTTTTTTTTAATCTCAAAAATACCCCTAACGATGTTAGTTTGTTCAATTATGGAAAACCACAAACGCTAGTTCATTAAGATATATATGGAAACCGTTGATTGAATATTCTGATGCTTGATTTACGACAAAATTGTTGGTCTGTTAATTCAAATTCAAATTAGAAGATTTCCTTAACAATTTAAATTTAAATTCTTAAAGAATTTTCGCTCTGTTATACATTTGAATAACATGCTTTTTGTGTTTGGTAGGGGTTTTGAAGGTAATTGAAGTAGTAATCGGAGTTCGAAATTGTTTGTAATTCGAGTTCGACTTACAGGTTGTTGGAGTTCGGGCTTTTCTTGATTTCGTATGCTGGAACAATCAGATCTATTGAGACATTCATTGTAATTGGTTGTTTTATCTACTACAAAACAACAGTGCTATTTGCTTGCTTGGATTCACCCTAATCTCTAAACATGATTCTAGTAGTGTGTATATGACTTATATAAGTAGGTGAGTGTCACTCTCCCTCAGGTATGATGCTAGAAATGGGGCAAATCATGTGTGCGAATGAAAATGTGTGTGAGTGTGTAGAAGTGCTCCCCAAGCGAAGAGAGGCTTGCAATGTTGTGTTTTACTTGGAATTGAATATTTTAAGGTCTTCTCTTCAGGGAAGGAATGTCGAATTGTAGTGAAGGGTGATTTATAAAGAAATGAAAAGTGTAAAATCTTGTGAGTTTTGTGTTTTGGTGAGTGAAGTTTTCATAAAATGCAAGAAAAAAAGATTGAATAATCCAAAGAGGTCATTCTAATGAGAATGCCAAATCAACTAAATTTATTCAACCAATAGTGTTTCGGTGTTTGATTGATTCGTAGGAAGTGAGGGACCAATGTGGAGGTGTAGGCTCAAGCATACCCCGTGACAAGTCTACTATGTATCAAAAACTCACAACCATGTCGACACTTAACCTAGTCAAATCAAACACTTTAGACTCAAGGAAGAATGGAGGAGAGTTGATTTAGCATACCCAATAGAAAATTTTCCTTGGATTAGCCAACTAAAAGTTTAGTTACCCATAGTCAATGCAAGAACATACACAATGTAAAGAGACATGGTGATGAAATAAAGCTTAGAACTTGCATTGATGAAAGAAGTTAAAGTACAAAAATAAATTTCATTTCATACCCAAATGGAAAGGTCGAAAAGAAAAAACTCAAATATAGACATGAACATTCAAGAAACATGAAGCTAGACTTGATTACACTTGAAATAAATGAGATTAAAGTGCAAGAAGTAAATATTACAAGTGATTTAAAGCTTACTACGACTGAAATGGTGGAGGAAATGTAAAAACTTAACTTTCTCTCTCTAAAATTTTATCTTCTTCCTTGGAGCTTCTCTCTCTAAACTTGTGTAAAAACTAAATAATTCTCTGAAGCTTGGTCAAAATTTTTTCATACCCCCTCCTTGTTCTGTGAGAACTGACTTGCTGTCATTGGAAGGGGTATAGGTATTGCTACAAACAACTATAGGCCCAACATTCCTCTTCCATGCTTCTCTAACCACTCCTCTTTTCTCTCTTCCTTTTCCATGATTCTCTTCTAAAATCAGGCTTTAGGTATAAGAGAACATCATATTGTGTTATAGATGTCAAGGCATGTGCGGGCTGACAAGAGGTGGTCCCCCGAAATGGGTGGAGTTGAGATTGCATGCTTCTAGCGTTTCTTAGCAAAACCTACCAGTAGAACGATCATAAAACCTATCGATAGGTTTTTTTTTAGTAGGTAAAATCTACCATTAGGTTTTGGCAGAGGTTGTAGTAGAAGAAATGCAGTGTACTAAATCTACCGGTAGGTTTTGATGAACTTCTACGGGGTAGATTTTCTCCTATTTTGGCATTTTCTTGGTTTCATGATGTCCCGAGCCATCCGTTAAGCCTTACCTTCTTCTCCATTACCTTTAAGCACTTGATGAGAGACTTAATACACACCATTACTTGCTCTTTACTTACAATCACGCAAATCTCCATTAAAAGTGAGTTTAAATGCATTTTTCCCCATTTTCACTACAAAAGCAAGTATAAATGGGTGCAAAGAGATATATGATATGTAATATTCTATGCTCATCACTTTTCTTTCCATTGGCAGAATTTGAATTTCATTTGCCGGAAATTCAATGTTACTTAACGGAATTCTTATTATGATGTACTCTACCAAAATTGTTTTTTTTTTAAATTAGGTTATGTTTTTATTTTCATGTTACTATTCGTGCTTTATTAGAATTAGAATTGATTGTTTTCATTTTTCAATATTTTTTCTTTTATATTTGTTTTCTTGGTTGTAACAGATGAAAGATAACATATTGGTTTGTTACAAGTATTCCTCTGAGACTGTTGTGATTAGAATTTCAATGAATTCCACTATTGATAATGTGTTACATAGTGTTTGTGACAATTGGAATGAGTTGAGTTCCAGTTGTATTGCCCTGTCACATGCTATTCCTAGACATCCGCATTGTGCTTTGCAAAATAATCATGACGTGAGAAACACGTTTTTAATTGTATGGTGTGTTCAATTGAGTTTTATTGATGTTACAGTTGTCGTAAAAGGGAATAAAGTTCATGATTTTGAGGGTGGGGAAGTTGTGAAAATTTCTGAATTATCTGTTGACACTTTTGGTCACGAGGATGATATTCTCCCTCTTTTTTGTTCTCACAATAAGAAGATTTTGTTAACTAATGGATGGTCCAATGGAATAGTAGAGGTTTGGTCAGAAGTTTGAGGGAGGAGTAGCTGATTTTCAAAATGCTTTATGTAAATATGCAATCAAGGTTGGTTTTCAGTTTAGTTATGTGAAAAATGAAAAAAACAAGGGTAAATGTTGAATGCGTTTTGAAATATTCTACTAGATGTGAGTGATTTTTATTGCTACAGTTCAAAGGATAAATGAGTGGTTTTACATTAAGAAGTTAAATAATGAGCATACATGTGGTGTGGTTGTACGTACGACAAAGAACAAAAGATTGACTTCTAACTTGTTTACAGGACTTATTGTTGACAACGCGCGACAAAAACCTGACACACGACCAGTTGATGTGAAAAGTATGTTTCATTCAGATTATGGTTTGACCATATCGTATAACTAAGTTTGGATGGGTGTCAAAAAATAAAGGGGTATACTATTCGAGGATCATTCGTTGTCATATCAACAATTTTGGTGGTATGTATAGGCTACTAATGAAAGAAATCCAGATAGTTATTTTGTGCTGGAAGGTGACTCGGACACTCAATGTTTTAGTTGGTTGTTCATGTCATTTAAGACATGTATACATGGATTTAAGTATTGTCGACCCATATTGTTTATTAGTGTTACATTTTTAAAGGGTAGGTATAAAGACATTATTTTGTCTGCGACTACCAAAGATGACAACCAAGGTATTTTTTGGTTTAATTTGGTGTTACTAATTTTATTTTACTATTACCCCTTATAATTGCTTGTTTATTACTAATTTGATGTTATTGTTTTTGTTGTTGTATGTATTATAGGTTTGTTTCCCTTAGCTTTTGTTGTTGTTGATTTGGAGAATGTGTAACTGGCGTTGATTTTTGCAACAATTAGCTGAGATTGTTGATAATAGTAGAGATTTTACCATTATATCCGATCGCAATGTTGACTTGATGGAAGCAATGCCAAAGGTGTTCCCAACAGTGCACAATTCATTTTGCCTACAACATTTAAAAGTAAATATGAGAGATAAGAATAGTGGGGGTCGTTTTATCCTTGTGTTTTGCAAGCATATGGTTTTTTTGTTTACAATATGTGCTTATGCACCGATAGAAGCATTTTTCAATGAGAAGCTTGATGCGTTTCGGAGTGAAGGAGGAGCTATTGTTGATAGGTTCTTCGAAAACTTTCCATTTGAGAAATGGGCGAATGCATTTTTCAAGGGAAAACGATATGTGGAGGTGTCTTCAAATGCGACCAAGTCATTCAATGC